AATATTATATATTGGTTTATTACTAATTGTATATGATTAATTATGTTTCAAGTAATAATATTATTTAAACATTTAATAATAAAAATAATTATAAATTAAATAAATTTTTTTATAAAATTCAATATAAAATGTAAATATGATAACTAAATAAACGGAATAACATTAAAACATATAAAAAGTAGAGTTAAAATATATCAAAAGCATAAAAACTAAACAAGATTTTAAACTTTTTTTTATAGACGATGTTCATAGTTTTCTTTTGCACATTTCTTTCTTTGTCTGTTATGTAAACTTTAAGTTCGGATCTAAACTTAACTCTAGATAACGCTACATATAGCTGTCCATAAGAGAAAACTGGTCTAGATAGAAACAAACCGATATTTTCAAGTGATTGTTCTTGATTTTTGTTGATGGTCATTGTGAAAGCTAAAGCCAAAAGGAATTGTCTACGACATATTCTGAAAGGAAATTTTATGTCTCGTGGTGTCACATAAATCCCAAAGATTAGAACAATTTGACTAATCAATTTCTCATTTTCCGTTATAATTAATAATAAATCTAGTTCTATTGCATATTCCACACATAAGATCATGTTATGAAGACACATAACTCGAGCATCAACTTTTAATTTCAAGCAATGTTTCGGTAATCCAGAAACTTTGATGCTTTTTAAAACTTATTTATTTTCTAATATTTATAGTGACATAATTATAAATGTAAAAATTATATTAAATAATTATTAAATTTTTAGAATATTTTTTTTGAATATTATCTATACTATGTTTTATATTCTCCTTACATAATAATACACACATATATATATATTAAGTATATATTCCTTTTTTGATCTATTACAAATTAAACAAAAAATAGCTTTTGCCATTTTTACTAATCCTAAGAGTGAGTAGATGGTTAGCCCGTACATAGACATTTCAAAAAATAAATATAAGTTGTTTAATAATAATAATAAAAATTGAACTATAATAGAAGTTAACAAAATGCATGCATGACACGTTTGCATGCGACTTTGAGTTTTATGCAATTAATATTCATATTTGTATGCATATTTTTGGAAAAATTGTAGTGTGACTTTTATGCGTCAAAAGAAACTAACAAAATATATATTTTGTAATATATATTTGTATAATGTATGTTGAATTTTAAAAATAAATAAATATGTATATTTATGCATGCATATATATGTTAGAAATAAATTATAATATTTATGTGTTGATTAGTTTTTTCCGATACTTTCCATAAATGTTATGTTTTTACACGCTAAAAAATAAGATATCTTGATAAAGTAAAAAAAAGTACAAAAAACTTTTTAAAAAATCAAAAATATATTTTAATTTATGCCATGAAAATACATACAATACATTGTATAATCTAGTATTAATTTTCCTATTTCAAAAAACAAATGTATTTTTGTATAATCTAAGTATATATTTCTTTCTTGGTCTATTACAAATTAAACAAAAATAGGTTTTACCATCTTTACTAATTCTAAGGGTGGGTAGATGGTTGGCCCACATATAGAGATTTCAAAAAATAAACATAAATTGTCTAATAATTAAAAATAAAAATTAAACTGTAATAGAAGTTAACAAAATGCATGCATGATAGGTTCGCATGCGACTTTGACTTTTATGCAATTAATATTCAGATTTGCACGTATATTTTTGAAAAAGTTGAAGTATGGCTTTTATGCGTTAAAATAAATTAACAAAGTATATGTATTGTAATATATATTTTTATAGTGTATGTTTAAATTTTTAAAATAAATAAATATGTATATTTATGCATATATACAGGTTAAAAATAAAATTATAATATTAAGGTGTTGATTAGTTTTTCTAATACTTTTCACAAATGTTATGTTTTTACACAGTGCAGTTTTTGGCGTTTAACAATAATTATGAAAACTGTTTATATTGTTTTGTATTTATTCAATTTTTTTTTTATTTTTTTAGCATTTTTTGACGCGGTTTCATATTAAAAATGATATTAATAGTAACAAAAAATACAAAGAACTTCTAAAAAAATCAAAAATATAATATTTTACTTTACACCATAAAAATACATATAGTACATTGGATAATCTAGTATTAATTTTTATATTTTAATTAAAAAAATATAATAAAAATTTGTTATAAAATTTGTGAAATCATATTTTATAAAAAATTTTGGCACCTCTCAGTTCATCTCTTCGTTCATTATTAAAGAATGGGATTGGTGAATATAATAATTTTTTTTATGATTGACATGCACATATGTGTTCATTATAAATTTTGACCGCACATGAGTTCATTATATAATTTGCTGCTTATATTTTTTAAATGCTTCCATAAAACAAAGCACAAGCTGCTTTACGGAAAACCAAAAATCTAAATAAATAATTTTGTTTGTACTTTTACTTTGTAATCATATTTTATTGAATCTATTATAAATATATGTTAAAAATTGAAATCTTAATAATTATTATTTTCTGCTAATTTAAATTTGTTAATTTTAGCGTTACAGTTAAATCTATATATATTAATATTTTATAAATTAATAATCACTATAAATTAATAAATTTTACTGGTACCAAGTCGGGACAATGTAAAATTAGAAAATTTTAATAAGATAATATTTTTTGGAACTTTTATGGAAAAATATTGTCACATTAATTATGTAAATTAGTAATTATACATTTAGACATATATAAATAATATAATATAGTAAAATATGATTATATTGTTGTTTCAAGTTTTTAAATTTTCTTTGATTTTCTTCCAAATTTATTGTTATGACATTTTCTGAATGAATTTTACATTGTTGAAATTATTGAGTTTTGTCTTTTGATGAACATTAAAAATTTGAACTGAAACATGTCTCTATAAATTAATAAAAAATTATTCAATTTTAATTGATAGATTAATGAATACTATATAATTTAATAAGATTTGGGAGTTCCAATATTGTTAATTTATAAAGATTTTGCTGTATAATCTAATGTATTAATGTTGTTATTTCATAATTTATTTAATTATAATTTAGCCAATCAAAATATTACGTTTATTTTAGGAAATTTGTCATGTCACATTTACATGTCACCATTAAAATACACTATCATTTTCTATGGTGTTGACAAGTAAAAATTTTTCAATAATTGTACTTCTCAAATAATATGTAGGGTATAAAATAAAAATTTCTATAACGTATTTTTGTATAATCTAAGTATATATTTCTTTCTTGGTCTATTACAAATTAAATAAAAATAGGTTTTACCATCTTTACTATTTCTAAGAGCGAGTAGATGGTTGTGGCCCACACATAGAGATTTTAAAAAATAAACATAAGTTGTCTAATAATTAAAATAAAAATTGAACTGCAATAGAAGTTAACAAAATAAATGCACGACAAGTTCGCATGCGACTTCGAATTTTATGCAATTAATATTCATATTTGCATGTATATTTTTAGAAAAGTCGAAGTATGGCTTTTATGCGTTAAAATAAACTAACAAAGTATATGTATTGTAATATATATTTTTATAATGTATGTTTGAATTTTTAAAAATAAATAAATATATATTTATGTATGTATATATGGGTTAGAAATAAAATTGTAATATTAAGGTGTTGATTAGTTTTTCCACTACTTTCCATAAACGTTATGTTTTACACGGTGTAGTTTTTGGCGTTTAACAACAATCACGAAAACTGTTTATATTGTTTTGTATTTATTCAAGATTTCTTATTTTTTAGCGTTTTTGATGCGGTTTCAAATTAAAAATTATGTTAATAGTAACAAAAAGAACAAAGAACTTCTAAAAAAATCAAAATATAATATTTTACTTTACGCCATAAAAAAACATATATTACATTGAATAATTTAGTATTTATTTTTCTATTTCAATAAAAAATAAACACAATTTATCATATAATTTGTCAAATCATATTTTATAAAAAAAACTTTTAGCACCTCTCCTCTCATCTCTTCGTTCATTATTAAAAAATGGGATTGATGAAGAAAATAATTTTTCTTTTGGTTGGCATGCACACATGTGCTCATTATAAATTTTGACTACACATGAGTTCATTATATGATTTGCTTCTTATATTTTTAAATGATTTCGTAAAACAATGCACGCTTTACGGAAAACCAAAAATGAAGAGAAATATTTTTGTTTTTGCTTTTACTTCGTAATCTATTATGAACATATGTTAAAAAATCGAAATCATAATAATTAATATTTTCTGCTAATTGAAATTTGTTAATTTTAGTGTTACAATAAAATCTCTATATATTAATATTCGATAAATTAATAAATTTTGCTAGTACCAAGTCCGGCCAATGTAAAAATTAGCAAATTTTAATAAGATAATATTACTTTTTTGGAACTTCTATGGAAACTATGGTCACAGTAATTATGTAAATTAGTAATTATACATTTAGACATATATAAATATTATAATATAGTAAAATATGATTATATTTTTGTTTCAAGTTTTTAAATTTTTTTTATTTACCTTCCAAATTTATTGTTATGACATTTTCTGAATGAATTTTACATTGTTGAAAATATTGAGTTTTGTCTTTTGATGAACATTAAGAATTTGAACTGAAACATGTCTCTATAAATTAATAAAATATTATTCAATTTTAATATCTAGATTAATGAATACTCTATAAATTAATAAGATTTGGGACTTCCAATATCATTAACTTATAAAGATTTTACTGTACAATCTAATATATTTATGTTATTATTTCATAATTTATTTAATTATAATTCAGCCAATCAAAACATTATGTTTATTTTAGAAAATTTACTATGTCACATTTACATGTTACTATTAAAATATAATATCTTTTTCTATGGCGTTGACAAGTAAGTTTTTTTTAATAATTGTATTTCTCGAATAATATGTAGGGAATACTTATTTCTGCATAATTAATTAGGTTATTGATGTAAAAAAATTCTTTATAAGGCTTACTCGTGTTTTTTCTTCTTCTTCTAAAGTTGTCTTGGTTCGATATTTTTATAGAGTACACATTATAATTGAACTTACTATAGTGATAAGGGTGGGCTATATTTTGTATACTTTGTTAACAAGATTTATCGTTTGCAGGTTTTAAAAGCTTAGGTAGATTAAGAAACCTGGAGATTCTGGATCTCTCTACAAATGATTTCAACTACAGCATTTTTCCTTTTCTTGGTTCTGCTACATCACTTAGATCTCTCTTTATTCGGAGTAACTACATGGATGGCCCTTTTTCTTTTAAAGGTGTGTTTTACATATGTATCCAATTGCAAACACAACATATTTATCGGTGATGTATGTTTGGTCATTTGGTATTTGTATTGCAGCCTCTTTAATGATCTATTTCTTAATTATCATTCTTACATTCTTTTGGACTTTTCATCAGAATTAAAAAATTTGACAAACTTGGAATTGCTGGATCTGAGTCAAAACAATTTTAACGGTTCCATGGCAGGTAGCATCTACGTCAACTGTCACTGTCTTTTGTCTTCATAATATAACATTAAAGTCTTTCACATACATGATTGTTGAATTTGTTTAAGCCATCTGAAATATTATTTAATCTATATTAATTAGAAGTGTCTTGCTTTCTGTTTCTTTGTCTTGTTTCAGAGCTTATTCACCTACAAAATCTGAAAGCTTTGGATCTAAGTTACAATTATTTACTTAGTTCAATGGAATTGCGAGGCAGGCTTGCTCTTTTAAACTCTCTTTTGTAATGAATGGAGATTTATATTTTGACTGCAATGATCATTTTGTACCTTCACTCTGTTTTAGAACTAAAGAATCTGACTAACTTGGAAGTTTTGGGTCTTGCTGGGAGTAGATTCAGGGGACCTATACCAATGAAAGGTAGCCTCTAAGATTATTTATGTGAACAATATTACAATTTACATATGAGAAGTATCTTGTGAATTCTCAAGAGGCATGCATCTCCTCTTATTATTCTCATTATCATGTTGTTTCCAAATCTTTTGCAGTAGTTTGTGAAATCAAGAATCTCCGGGAGCTTGATCTTAGCTCAAATCATTTTACTGGCCAGATTTCTCTTTGCTTGGGTAGCTTGAACAAGCTACGTGTTCTTGACCTCTCATTCAACCAATTTAGTGGAAATCTACCATCTAGTTTCAGTAACCTCGAGTCCCTCGAGTATCTATCATTGACAAATAACAACTTCACAGGCTTATTATCGCTCAATCCACTAGCCAACCTCACAAAGCTCAAGATATTCAAACTTTCATCAACATCTAACATGGTACAAGTAGAGACAGAAAGTACTTGGCAGCCAAAATTTCAACTGACTGTTGTTGTGCTACAATTTTGTAGCTTGGAGAAAACCCCTTTCTTTCTTGTGTACCAGAAAAACTTGCGTCTAGTTGATCTATCCGGCAACAGATTATCCGGAAACATTCCTACATGGCTGTTGGTTAATAATCCGGATCTTGAAGTTTTACAGTTGCAGACTAATTCATTCACTATCTTTCAACTACCTAATAGAGTGCACAACTTGCAAGTCTTGGATGTTTCAGCAAATGATATTGGTGAGTTGTTCCCTGATAATATTGGTCGTGTGCTTCCGAATCTGGTACATATTAATTGCTCGAACAATGGTTTCCAAGGGTATTTTCCATCGTCTATGGGTGAGATGAAGAACCTTACATTCTTGGACATGTCTTACAATAACTTCTCTGGCAAGCTACATAGAAGCTTTTTCACCGGTTGTTTTTCAGTACAATACTTGAAGCTCTCTCACAACAAATTTAGTGGTCATTTTCTTCCAAGAGGAACCAACTTCACTTTGCTGCGCGTGTTGAGAATGGATAACAACTTATTTACAGGGAATATTAGAGTTGATTTGCTTAGATCTAGTACATTATCAATTCTTGACATATCCAATAATTCCCTCACAGGTGCTATTCCAAGTTGGATATCTAAGTTATCTCGGTTGGCTTTTTTATTGTTATCAAACAATATGTTAGAAGGTACAATGCCACCTTCTTTGCTGCTCATGCCTTCTCTTTGGTATTTGGAAATTTCCGGAAATCTTTTGTCTGGAGGCTTACCGTCACATGTTAATGGTATGAGAGGGAGACATTTGTTCCTGCAGAACAACAACTTCACAGGGCCAATTCCAAACACATTTTTGGAAAGTGTCCAAGTACTTGATTTGCGGAACAATAAACTTTCTGGAAGTATCCCACAGTTTTTTGATACAGTGGACATACATATTATTTTATTGAGGGGGAACAATTTCACAGGATCTATTCCAAGACAGCTATGTGATTTGAGAAACGTCAGAATTTTAGATCTTTCATATAACAAGCTCAATGGTTTCATACCTGCATGCCTTTATAATTTATCATTTGGACCAGGAGAATATGAGAATAAGGATATCTATAGTCCACCAGCTTTCGCTCTAATAACTCTTCAACTGGGATTTTACAAATCCACATTTGTGAAAGAAGAGTTCATAGCATACTACTTTACCTTCCAAGAAATTGAAATCAAATTTACAGCAAAGCGAAGGTATGATTCTTATACTGGAAGGTCTGCGTACGGCAGTGGTATACTTGATTATATGTATGGGATGGATCTATCAAACAATGAATTAAGTGGTGTTATCCCAACAGAGCTTGGACATCTCTCGAAACTACGAGCTCTCAATCTATCTCACAATTTCTTGTCGAGTTCTATACCATCCAATTTTTCCAATCTGAAAGATATTGAGAGCCTTGATCTTTCTTACAACATGTTACATGGAAGCATTCCTCAAGAACTTATCAGCCTTCAACGAGAATAGTTACTTAGGTAATTCTTTTCTTTGTGGACCACCAACCTCGATAAGCTGCAAGGCTAAGAGGAGCTCGGAGGAAGGAGAAAATGGAGGAGAAGGAGACGATGAATCTACCAGTAACATGTTAGACTTTTATTTTAGTATTGCTTCAACTTATGTGACTGCACTTATAGGCATTTTTGTACTTATGTGTTTTGATTGTCCTTGGCATCGAGCATGGCTCCGCATTGTTGATGCATTCATCGTCTCCCTAAAAAATATGGTGTCTTAATTTCATTTCAGCTTAGTTCTTATATATTCTTGTCACATGTATCGTAATATTGAAAAATGATTTTGTTTAGTGAATAAAGTGTGGTTTGGTTATTCTGGTTTGCATACAATATCATAATGAGATTGTAAAATGGTGTAACACCAAAAAATTGAGTGATTATCCAAAGGCTGCAGGCTGAGCATGGTTCTACATACGTATTTTCCATTTCTTTGATATAACATAAATCTTCTTCTTTGATCAAACCCGTTGATAAAAAAAGGTTCCTTGAATACTTAGGATACAATCTTGTATAAAAAAAAAACCCTTAAGAAAAATATAAAAACATATCTTTAAATTTTGATTAAATTCTACTAAAACTACAGATTACTTATTATAAAAAACAAACGCATAAAATCATTAGAGTGACACTTACTTACACTTTAAACTTATAAAATTTCAAATTAAAATATTTATCTTATTCCCTTGACCAAAAAATATATATTTATTATATTATATAAAATTAGAATAATTTTTGAAATGATCCATTTTGCAATTTTATTATAATATATTCCTTCTTAAACTGACGCATAAGAGGGGTCTATTAATGTTCTTTTAATCTGTCGTTAGTCTACCAGTAATTTTTATTTTGTTTGTCATTAGTCTGTCAATAGTCTACATTTAATTGTAAGACCAATCAGCCTGCATTCAATTTGCCATTAGTCTGTCATTATTCTATAAGTAAAAGTAGTTAGAAGGGTAGCACTGATATTTAAAAAACCATAACAAGGGATCCTTTTTACAATTTTCCTTCAATGGTGTATCCATTTTACACAAGACTTTTCAGCCTTAAGTGCAACCTCAATGCACTAGATGTAGTATAACAGTAATGAGTTTAATCAATCCAAAGAAGGGGAGGTTTAGAGAAGATGCAACACACTTGTAAAGCTAGGCAAATACAGGATTTAAAGTGTTCACACTCAAGCAAGCAATAAGTACAAACAAGTAACCATAGTGACTAGAACTTATCAAGCACACAAGAAAAATTCTAGTAGTGAACAAAACAGAGCAATACTTAGCAAATTCAAAATATTAAAAGGCTAGAATCAAGACTAAGATAATGTGACTTGGGTGGTTTAAATCATGATCAAGGTGTGAAAGCAACAATCAATACAAAATCCATAAGCAAGGATCACTAATAAAGACTAATCCAATCTCTTGACACTAATTCCTCTACTAATCGTACTTCTAACCCACTTTCAATGGTAGAAACACAATCAGCAAGCATTAAACATAAGGTCCATAGAGCCAAATAGCATCTTATATAACTAATTCCTTAGACTAAGCACACTAATCTCTTATGCAGTGATTCAAATACTAACTCACACTTCCATGCATAATCAATATCTAATGAAAATTTCCCATTCCCTAAAGTAATCTAGCAATAAGAACAATTATGAAAGAAATGATGGATGCTAAGAGTGACGACAATCAAAACACCATTTTCAAGCTATGAACTTCATTCAAGCATATCAACAAACACCTTAGATGTAAGTCAATGACGCCTAGGTTCTATTTCTCATAAATGGTGGTACTAAGCATTAAGCACAATCACATAAGAAGAGATTCACAAAAATCTAACAACCTAACACCTTAACCAATCATTAAACCACCATAATCTACCTTAATCTCAAGCCTAAAAGTAAATTACTCACTAATCATATTTAAATCCACAAGTTTATGGTTAAACATGATTGCAAATAGATAAAACACAAGTAGTAAGAAGAAAGATCAACACTTTATTAATGAAAATCTCAATATCAAAGCTCTTAAAGAAATTCTTACAAAAGGAAAGATTTTTTTGATGAAAAGCTTAAACAACGATAAGATAGGATAGGGTAATGTTTTCTTTGGGACTAAGTTTATTTATAGGCAAAGACCAAAATAGACGTAGTCAACTAAAAAGAAACCTACTCAACTAGTTAACTCGTGGTCAACACTCCAAAAATGGCTCGTACCGAGCAGGGTACAGACTGGTTCTCTTCGGTTCGTATGGTTGGTGCGTGCTGAAGAAGCTGCATCTGAAGTTTGGATTAGCTGAAGTCCTCGATCTTGGGTGGCATCGTGCATGGCATCAGACAGCTCTCCTAGGTATAGTTTGTCGGTATGCCCTAAAGATGTCTGTGCCGAGCAACCTCGTTGGCGTACGGACATCTTTGGTCGGTATGACTGCACTGTGGAGTTTCGTCGGTGTACGACACGTCTGTAGTTGGTATGATCGCCTCCATGGGAAGTCCTTGGTGTAAAGACGTGTCTTTGGTCGATGTGGGCTGTACTGTGGAAGAACAAAGGTGTTCTCCACAGTATGGTTGATCTGTATGAGGCTTTAATGCCTTGGAATGCTTCTTCTAGCTGAACCTGCTTTTTTCACTTGGTCCATCCTTTTTCATAGTGTCTCTTTAGCTCTCCAAAATCCTGAAAATAGACTCACAATGCATGCATATATGCAATCCTAATCTAAATATATGCTATGTATGAAATAGATGCAAATGAGACACTTTTGGTCTTTAAATGGATGAAATGCAACGAAATCCTATACTAAATGGCACCTAACATGATGCAATACTACATGCTGTCGTCGTTCTATATTATTTTCTCATTCTCGGTCATTTTGAAGCATTTTATATGTATTAAAGTTGCTAATTAACACGATCATGACATGTGCTTATTTAATCGATAAGATTTTGACATGTGTCACGATTTAAATGTATTTGAAAATAATTTTTTCGGAGAAAATTTTACCAAAAAAAATTATTTCTAAACAAATAAGAAATAATTTTAAAAAGATTAATAAAACAAAAGAGTATATTTAAATTACAAAAAGGAAAATAAAAACAAAAATAAAAGTAGACAAATTTAAATTTGAACTTCAAAAACAAAAGGTTTTGACATGTATCATAATTTAAACTTATTTGAAAATAAAATTTTAATATAGAAAATCTGCCAAGACTTGGGATTTTGCAGAGGTGCGTGTTCGATATTCGATATCAAACTCGGATAGCTCGATTGCCCACTTCGCCATGCGTCCGGACTGCGTCGGGCTATGTAAGATCGACCGAAGGGGTTGACTGGTCAAGATGGCTATGGAATGCGACTGGAAATAAGGACGTAGTTTTCTTGAGGCGACGACGATGTCGAGAGCAAGCTTCTCTAAGGTTGGATAGCGAGTTTCGGAACCATCCAAAGTTTTGCTGAAGTAGAAGATTGGCTTCTGCTCTGCACAATCCTCCCGAACTAGAACACCGCTGACCGCCGCACTGGAGACTGAGATGTAAAATAGTAAGGTGTCGCCGTGCTCGGGCTTGGCCAGGATCAGAGGTGTTAACAGATATGTCTTGAGTTGCAGGAACGCGTCTTCGCACTTCTTGTCCCACTTGAATCTCTTGTTGCCGCAGAGGAGTTGGTAGAAGGGTAGGCATATGTCGGTTGATCGCGATATGAATCGGTTGAGCGCGGCTATTCTTCTTGTCAATCGTTGAACTCCGCGAGTGTTCCGTGGTGTAGGTAATTCTAAGATCGCTGAGATCTGTTTGGGGTTATCTTCAATTCCACGTTGAGTGACCAAGTATCCCAAGAATTCGCCCGACGTGACTGCGAATGTGCATTTCGCAGGGTTGAGCTTTATACCATACTGGATGAGTATTATGAAACACTCGCGGAGGTGAACGATGTGGTCAGTTGCCTTGGCTGACTTGACGAGCATGTCATCTATGTATACTTCTATCGTCTTCCCAAGCTGACCGGCGAACATCTTATTGACAAGGTGCAGATAGGTGGCTCCTGCGTTCTTTAAACCGAATGGCATGACCTTATAGCAATAAGTTCCTCGATCCGTGATGAATGCGGTCTTCTCACTGTCGTCTGGGTTCATGAGGATCTGGTTGTATCCTGAGAACGCATCCATGAAGGAGAAGAGTTCATTGCCCGTGGTCGCCTCGACGAGCTGATCGAAACGAGGAAGAGAAAAATTGTCCTTTGGGCAAGCTTTGTTGAGGTCTGTGAAATCTACACAGACTCGCCACTTCCCATTTTTCTTCTTGACCACCACCGGGTTGGCGAGCCACTCCGGGTACTTGACTTCGGCGATTGATCCGGCCTTCAACAGCTTATCCACCTCATCGTGTACGGCTTGTGCCCGCTCAGGCCACAATTTTCGTCGCTTCTGTTTGATCGGCTTGAAGGTGGGATCAACGTGCAAGTCGTAATCGGTAATCTGAGGGCTGATGCCTTTCATATCGGCCATTGACCATGCGAACGTTCCGACATTCTCCCAGAGGAAAGTGATCAGCTCGTCCTGCATACTTGACAGTAGCTCCGTGCCGATGCCGACACAAAGCTCGGGGTGAGCAACGTCAATGTTAACCTGAATAATGAGGTTACTCTTCGGCTTCTCGTGATGGTTTATTCATGATTCAAAGTCGTTATTGTTTCTGATCACGAATGTGGATGCTTTACGGGCGTGCTGTTTGTCGACGTAACAATGCTGAGATACTGTCTGATCACCACGGATGGTGAAGATACGACCTCTGATTGGCATTTTGATGCACTGGTGATAGGGAGATGGGACGGCTCGCATGGCGTTGAGCCAAGGTGTTCTTAGAATGGCATTGTAGATTGCAGGCCGGTCAATGACTTCGAAAGCGACTGTAATAGATTTTCCTGCTATGGTAACTGGCATCGTTATGGTCCCGATCGTCGAGATCGAATTTCCAGCAAATCCAGTAAGGGGTGACAGTGCGATTTTGATGTCTCTTTCGGTGATGCTCATCTTGCGTAGCGTGTCCTTGAAGATGAGGCCGACCAAACTTCCTGTGTCAATTAAGATCTTTGAAACGTCGTCTTCTCTGAGCCGAAGTGAGATGACGAGTGGATCGTTGTGCGGCCTATCTATATTCTGTGCATCCTGCTCGGTGTACACGATCAGGAGGTCGTCTTTAAACAGCGGTGGGGCATCCTTTGGTGGATTAGCGGCTTTTCGCTCATGCCGTTTGATTGAGTTGATGGAATCAGTGCATGAGAGGAGTCCTCCCATAA